TATCTGGGGACATTTTCAAATTAGACAAATTAAGGTTACGATGTTGGGGTTTTTTGGGGTTTTTTTTGATACTGTCTCCTTTCAGGTGCTCTCACACAAGGAAGGAAGGAAAGTGCCATCCACAAGATCCTGCTGTAAAGTTACTCTGCAAAACGAGGAGTTTTTTCCCTTGCCTCTTGTCTGCTTCAATTGTGAACAAGACTTCAGAGTGCAAAATTCTCATTAGTGTTCTAGGTAAACTCTTGTGCCTAACCCTTTTATGGTCTTGTCTGCATATACGGGAGGCTGGTTTGGGAATCCTGGGGATCCTCATGTCAGGTGTGGTATTGTCATCTCTTTTTTTCACCACTGCTCACCAAAACTGATGGCATGTCCTCAAGCTGTTTTCTGTCCTTGCAAGAGAACAGCTTTTGATTTGGGAACTACCATGTCAGCTCCTCTGCTTCATTCTGTTTGATGTCTCTTCAGCTTCTCCTGTAAGGCAGAATTTCTAGCTCTTAGTCCCTAAATAAGATAGGTGTGCACTGCTTTATTTTTTCAATGCAGCAGCAATTCTAACCCAAATAAACTGATTTTTTTTTTTTCGCTTTTTAGTGTTAATGTTTCTCAGAGTCGCAAGATGTCCTTTTCAGAAGACAGCTGGAACCTTCATGTAATCATTGGTCTTCATCAACTGAGGCTTAAGGTAGTATACCAAATATGGGAAGATTCCTGATGAAGTCATGTACGTTGACAAAATAGCATCAGAAATATTAGGAGACCTGCTGTGTTGGGAAGGTCCCAGGGAGAATACTGAAAGAAAGGTTTCTGTGGTGTGGTTTTTTTCCTTTACACAAATACTTCCAAGAGGTGGTCATCATGGCCTTCCCTTATTAGGAGATCAGACTTTGCCTGGTATGTATCCAGCCTTATCTGGGAGGCCACTTTATTTCCCTGCAAGTAGGCAACATTAACCACCATTTCAAAGCCGCCTTGTCACATTCAGTCTCCACTACTTGGGGCTGGTAGAGTCAGGGCCTGTGCTATGACTGTGCAGTATTTGGCCTCAAAGCCTGTTTCTTGTATTTTGCAAGGAAACTGCAGTTTATTATCCTAGTCACCAGGATGGAAAGAATTTGAGGCCGTTTACCTTGGTTTTGTGCAGCCTTATTTTGAAAAGGTTCGCCAGTTTTTCTGTGAGTGCCCATGTCTCTGGAATGCTACCTATCTGAAGAGCTCAGCTTGCCATGGCTGCATTCCCAGGCATGGCGTTAGCCAGAGGTGGGGGGCACAATACAAAGAAATAGATATGCCTAAAGCCCTTTGACGATTCTCTAAATACCATTTGCAGCTCATACAGAAGTCCATTTCATAGCATGTTCATAAGCGAAGTTTCTGAAACTTCAAAACAGTAAAAAATGTATTTTATTGTAGGATAGCCTAGCAGCTGTCAGGGACCCAGGCTGAGCAGATGTATGTGGCACCCCCATTAGGGTTTTGCATTGGTGGTGACACTAGTGGCTGTAACTTACTCTCACAGTGTTGGTAGACACAATATGGAATCCAGTAGTGGAAATTCATCAAGTAATTAACATGCTAAATGAGGATATCTCTTTATTTCAGTGTTCATGTTGAACATTACTATTGTCTCGAATAAAATTCTTGCTTCTTTGTAAGGGGGGAAAAAAGGGGCGAGAGGTGGAGGAACAAGTGAAGTTAAGTACTCAGGAATGAACAAGACCTCAGTGTCACTATTGTATCTAAAATGTTTCTCGTCTTTTCAGTAGACCATTAAATGCAAAATTACCTTTTTTTAAAGTCTTCTACACAAGACCAGTCAACTTAAACCATTTATTTACAAAGTCTGGATGCATAAAAACATTGGGAAGTATGCAGGTGTAATCACAGCGTAATAACCTTGCCTTTGTTCTAGGCTTTGTCTTTTAATACCATGTGTGTTACTTTTTTTTTATCCAAAGGATTTTGAAAGAGTAGATCAATGTTTCCAAGTAGAAAGTAAAATACTGTAATAAGTTATTGCTGCTTTCTGCTATAAATCTAGCTTAACAGAAAAGCCCTACAGTGTTACACACAGACGTCTGGGTGGCAGAGAGCATCCCTTCAGTGCCCTGTATAGCTCAGAGCAGCTGCTGCCTCCTCACTGCAAAGTTCACAGCTCCTCCATGTTAAAGAAAGGGATGTAAGACATTAGATACAGCCTAACCGTTAGTTTCTAATGTTACAGTGAAATGGCAAGACCCCCATGTTGTCCTGGCAGGCCGGGGAGCTGCAGGCGCAGGGAGACCCCACTGCCATCGCCATCTTCCAGCGCCAGCTCGGGCTTTCTGCCGCCATCTGGTGCTCTCGCTGCTGGCCAAAAATGCATGCTCATGTCCTGGAAAACATCTCAGGTTAGCCACATCAGCTTTACGTGACACTGCTTTTTTCCCCTGAAGCTTTCATTGTTGCTAGCTTTGAAATGCTAGTAGTACAAAAGCAAACACGCAGAGTCAGTAATAAAGTACAGCCTGTTTGATCTCTTAATTCACAAGAACCTGCTCCAGGACTGACCTTGCCTTAAGGCTTATTTTTGGGAGTCTCCTCTGCGCTCAGTAGGGCCTTTACAGGAGCTCTCCCTCTATCTTTCCACTGTGCTGCTCTTTATCCTTTGCAAACGGAATCGCCTGATTCACTTCCAGTCACTGGGACCGCCATTTCCAAGTTTTAAGTCAAGCAAAAGTGATTCAAATCAAAAGTGAATCTTGGTTCTTTTGTGGCCTTGTTTTGAAAATGGTTTGTTTTCTTTGTAATGATCTAAAACTCTTCAAATACAGCGGCAGAACTGAATGTCGCTGTTTCTACTCGGTTGTATAAACGCTCTGCGCAGCTGCCTTCAAATGACCTTTAACTGAGTGGCGCTTGGCTTTATTTACCACTCTCTTACGACAGGTAACCAGTCATGGTTTTGTTTTGCTGGTGACGATTCCAAAACCTCGCGAAGTTGAGGCGACCGTGCAGTAATTCAGTGCAGTAATTCTGCAGCCCCTCCGCGCTGGCGCTCAGCAGAGGCGAGGCCGGCCGGCGATGGATGTTCCTGCC